GTATTTAACAACCAAAATGTCAACCTACAATCAGACGAACGGATCTTTAGAAACAACAAAAATGTAAGAGTGGTAAAGTGGATGATTCGTCTCGTTTAAACCCGTCCAACAACGGGATAGGGCAGAACGGGCCAAATTAAGTGTCTGAGTTTAAAGTCAAATCAGTCCAGTTTACTAACAAATGGTGGGTCGATCCATCATTTATTTTATTTTTTATTTATAATTTAATTTATTACATAATTTACAAAAAAAAATTAATTATTACCAAGAGACCACAAAAAAATTATTTTAACAACGAATATATAATTTTAATATGTTTTAAGTCCAAACAGTTTAAAATAAAAATAAAAAAAGAGCAATTATAAGAAAAACATAACAAAACAAACTCAAACGCAATAAAAAAAGCGTATCAAAATAAATAAATAAACACAACATATCATCTTCATTCTATTTTAAAACTAACTGCTAAAATAATCCAATTGATAATTTCACAAGACAAACAATGATAACAAATGCAGTGCATAAACATTAAATTGCATGAAACAATAGGATAAAAAATATAAACACATGACTTTCTCATTGTTCATATCATATAGACTTTTATATTGACTGATTCCTTAATAGTTATATCATAAAGTTGTCACTAGTATACACTAATAACATTATTTTTTTCCTTCTTAAAATCAACCTCTGTTTCTAAAGAAAATGTGTGAGATAATGTATTAATAACTTAATCATTATTCATGTCATACATTATTCTTTATTTTAACTTTCTCCAACCAAAACATGTATTAGAAATTTATAGAAAGAATCTTACATATATATAACTCAATTTGTCTATATAATAATTTAGAATGCAATTCAATCAACATGATCCTAATAGAAGAGTGTTGTTTTGATAGTTGAAGTTGTTTTAATTCTAAGTAAAAAAAAAAAGGTTTAACAAGAACCACGCGGGTAAAATCCGTCCCCGCTTCGCCTCGACCCACTTTTTTAAAGCGGGTTAGATAGGACAAATTAATTTAAGATACCGAGCTGAAAACCTCAACTCAATCTATCAAAAATGGTGGATTAATTAGACGAGTTCGACCTGTTTTATCACCTCTACGAAAATGTTACACCTATCTTAAAAAACTATAAAAGGAAATTATAAGGGAAAAATTTGATCTATATATGTTATGTTTCTCAATAAGTTAAAAGTAAGAAAATTACTTAAATGTACCCTGGAACGTCATTTCCACATGCTTTTGAAACAAGTACTAATCCTGAAATAGAACTTTTAGCTGCACCATACCTTCTTTCTTGAAGCTTTTCTCTACACTACTAAAAATATAACATTCGAAAAAAAGGTTTTTATATCAAATATAAAAATATATGATGTGAAAAAATATTTGTCAAATAATTTTATATCAGATATTTATTTTCAATAATATGAAAAATATTTGATTTAGGAAAAAAATATAATCGGTGACAGTTTGGTAAATAAAATGCAATTTTGTTACAAAGAATTTCATATTGGGTCTAGATTTGTCCTGATGTAAAAAATGCAATAATTAAAAAAATAAAAACACGATAGCAGTTTGGTAAATAAAATGATTTTTGTTATAAAAGGCCATTACATCAGGCCAATTTCCTAACCGATGTAAAGAGCATTAAAACATGGGCGTTTACGTCGGGCCATATGCCCAACCGATATAAAAACGTGGTTTTTTTTCACAAAATCCTAATATTCTTTACCATACTGATTCCGCCGCATTCGTCCAACCATCAAACATCTCTTCCAAAAACGTAAACCCCCTTCAACGTTCCATCACGAACACAAATTCTCCATTCTCTTCCATATTCAACCTTCGTCTCATTCGCTTGTAATTATACTTAAGGAGCCACAAGTCTGCGTGAGAGTAAAGAGTAAAACCAAAATCCAAACCAAAAAAGAGATCACTAGCGGCAGCGATTGAACCAGCATCGATGGATCCAGACGCGTTGGCCAAGGAATTCTTAAGCGAATGTCAGAAGATTCAAGGATCTCAGAACATCATCGCCAAACTCACTTCTCTCCCTTTTCAGCAATCATCCATCACTACCGTTGAATGTCAGCCGTCTGGTGTTAATGGTGGAATGCTTGTTTTCGTTAGCGGGAATCTCCAGCTCCCCGACAAACAACATGCTCTTAAGTTCAGTCAGGTATCAACAATCCATGTTTCTGTATCTAGGACTTTTTTTTTCTTAATTTTAGATTTTAGGATTTTTGTTTTTGTTGTTAATGGTTTATGTGATGTTTAGTTTTTTAGATTGGTGATTTTTTTTTGTTTTGATGGGGTGGATCTAGGTTTTGTTAAATCTCAATTTTGTTAGGTTTTGCTTTATCGCAGTTTTTGAGTGTTGTGAATTTATTTAGTTTAAGTTTTTTATCTTGATGTGATATGATTTTCCAAAGGATTATGTGAGGTTGTTTTTTTGTGTGATTTTGTTGAATCTCTAGTTTGTTTCAATGGTTTTGTGCCTTTGATTGTTGAATGCTTTTAGATTTGGGGTTTGTTTGATTTGATTTATTTGAATTTATCTAAATATCATGTTTAGGTTTTGTTTGAGATTGACTTATTTGAAATGTTAATCAAGTTTGTGTCTTTGTTGGATCTATGGTAAAATGTACCATAGTCATGGTTCACTTAGTTCTAAAATGCATTTCTAACATTACTAACATAATGTTATTATAGATTAGAGAGTTCTTGAGCAGCCCACTTATGGTTAAATTTTAAAATTATTCCAGAATTGATGTATTGTTGTGTTTAAGGTGCAAGTTGAATCTCATTTATTCACGTATGATTATGTATATAATAGCACATGACAATCTTTGTCTGTGATTTACGTTGATTGTGTCGCGTCGCTTGTTGAAGCACTCTTCAATGGATATAATGCTATTGTTCTTGCATATGGTCAGGTGTAATGTTCAAATGATGTATATTGTATATTTATTAATTATAGTCTAGAATTTTATTGCGAATTGTAATTGAGTGTTTTCCGTTCTCATTTTGTAAGACTGGCTTGGGGGAAACATACACTATGGACACAAATTATAATGGAGACGAAACTAGTGGTGGTTGGGCCCGTAGTTAAAACGAAAGAAGAAATGGCATCACAATCTTTCAAGTGGCTCATTGTCATATGCAACAGGGAGTACTAACATGAATAGTCAATCGAGGTAAAGTGTTAACAAAAAATCTACATTTTTTTAGAACAAATTGATAGAATAATAATAGTTTGGTTTGTATGTTTTGAATAGTCGCTCACATGCTATATTCACAATCACCATGGAGCAAAAGAAGGGTGATGATATCTTATGTGTAAAATATATGATAGGTTGGTTAATACATTACTGACACTTTGTATTTTGTTATGTATCAGTCGCATATGGAACGAAAGTTGGTTGACACTCTTCTTCTACAAACCCTTGTAATTATGAGTTGTTTGTGAAGCAATTTTTGAACATGGAAATGTATATTGTCATAGAAAGGGTATGTGTTTTGACTTCTTTTATAAGATTATTATTATAATATACTAGTATACATGTTTTTAACATACTTGTATTGATGAATTTGACAGAAATTATATCCCCTTCTAGACAGTGATCAAATATACATTTATCCAATGTGCCTTGAAATGTTAATATGGTTATTTTTCAAATTATGAGAGTTCAGGGATTTTGTTTAGTTGATCTTATAACCTCTTGAGATTGGAGGATAATTATAATCTACTATCGAGAAATTGAGGAACCTTTTAATGAAATATTTTTGTAAATAGTGTTTTTTAATTTTCAAACTAATTTAATTTGTTTGAAAGTATTCATAAACTTAATTTATGGCTTTCACTTTTTTGTGCATCTTGTCGGTTGTTGCCTTTAGTTGATGTATATGTTAGATAATTAGGTACCAAAAAAATTAAACGGAATCCATTAATAATTAGTCAATTTAAAAAAAAAAAATGTAGATCTTTTACGTCGGGTCAAACAATTAATCGATGTAAGAAATTGATATTATTTACATCGGGTCAATAATGCAACCGATGTAAAAAATTGTGTTTATTTTTATAAAAAAAATGTTATACTTTTTTCACATCAGACTTATCTGACAACCAATGTAAGAAATATCTTTGATTTACTACATCGCTCGACTTTACATTGAACCTAGACCCGATATAAAATGTGATTTTCAACCCAATATTAATTAGATCACTTTCATTTTCTTAAATTATGTCATTGTTGTGTTAGAGTTAGTGCTTTATGGCTAGTAAATTTATATGCAAATCCATAATCAGTAATTTCACATAATATAGTAGACTTGGAATTATTGCACATGACATCACCCATTGCTAGAAAACTATACGGATAAATAAATTATAAAGTTGAATCACATCAAAACACTTGAAGCAAGAAATTAAAACATTGGAGTTTAAATCATACATACCTTTTGAAAAGTAGTCTCCATCTCATTATAATTTTCAGCCTCAATAATATCTGTAAGGAGTAATCAATCAATTTGTGTACTAAAACGGAAATCGTTGAACACAGTCATTATGAATTAAATGATTTCATAATGGATGTAAAACAGTGACAGTGTAGTGTTTAGTGACCATAAAAAATACATAATTGCATATAATTTAATCCACTAAAACAAATGAATCACAAAGTCGTGAGTTGTCTTCAAAAATTAAGTTTCATTTTTTTTGACACAAATATGAATGCTTCATTTAGTCATAACTATATCAGTCAAATATTTAGATAAAAAAATTATTAGTGCACAAAAAGAAATGAAGACAAAATAGATATATTAAATGACTGTTACAGAATAATAAATAATAAATACATTAATTTATCTACTACTAAGAATAGATATAACAAATACACACAAATAGATGCATAAAGTTATTGAATAAATTGTACGCATAGGTACAAGATATAAACACACAGAGATACATAATTTTATTACAGAAATGATAATAAACTAATTATTATGATTGGAAGGTGGGAGACGAGCGGAAGCGGCGTTAGTGGTGGTGGTAGTCACAGCTGCGGCTGGAGTGCAGGGAGGCATCCTGCAGTGACAATTACTCCCAGTACATTGAGGGAGAGTAGCAGAAACGACGGTAGTGGTGATGGTAGTCGCGGCGGCGGCGGCGGCTGGAGTGCAAGGAGGCATCCTGCAGTGACAATTACTCCCAGTACATTGAGGGAGAGTAGCAGAAACGACGGTAGTCGCGGCGGCGGCGGCGGCGGCTGGAGTGCAAGGAGGCATCCTGCTGTGACAATGAGGCCCAGCGCATTGAAGGCTAGTAACCAGACCTCTGGCAGAGGCAGCTTGAACCTGCATTGTTGGAACAGAAGAAATGAGTAAAAGAATTAAAAGAGAAATTGCAATTCCAGTTTTCATTTTTGTTTAAAGTAAGATGGATGTTATGCATTGTTTGAGGCTGCAATTAAGGCTATTTATAGTGCTATGAAATTGATTCATAATGGAAGTTAGGCAGATTTAATTTCTTCAACTAAAATAGAATTGTACTTTAATCCATTGTTGCATCTTAAAAAGAAATTTAGTGACCCAACAGTACTTGTTTCACATGAGTTTGCAGAAGAGAGAGCTGAGAGAGAAGAATAGGGTAGATATCTGCATTTTAACTTATCATTGGTTAATCCAGATTTTTGTTTAGATAACATTTCCAAAGGTACACTCACCACGTTTCTACTTCTCATTGGCAGAGTGAACAAAAGACAACTAAAACTTTGTGAAATGAGACCATAATAATGCAGAGTGAACAAAAGACAACTAAAACTTCCAATCAGCAACATGAACCATTGATAAGAACTGATGTTACACAAATGGTTGACTCAGTAATGCTTATTACTTATTAGAGAGATCATATGCCGGTCAGATCAAGAGATATCCAACAAATAGCAGCCAAGTATAACCGTGTAAGCCTCATTAAATTTACCTAGCAGGAGACTTCAGTCGTGTGAGGTTCATTTGTGTATTATCTCATAGCCAATAGATTAGCACTAGCATAAGCAGAGGGGCTTCAGTCATTTTCATCAATTCACAGAACTGGGAAATAGGGGAGCATTCAATAACATGCCTCTAGTTCACTGTGGTTGAGGACCTCAAATATTGTCAAACATAGATGTTAGTTTTGTTTCCTAATGATCAGTATTAACCAACCTCAATCCATTAGATACATCTTCACAATGCTTCATGTGATGAAAAAGGGAAGTAAAATCAACTGTGTTGTTGGCCATACAATCAATTTGTAGCTGCATGATTTTTGGTCATGACTTGATTGTATGATTTCGAACGAGGTCCACAACTTGTATGAAGATTTTCATAGTTTCGTAGCTTGGATATTAGATATGCGGAAGGTTTATAAGGGGAAGCTTTACGGTATAAGTGAGATTGATACCTACTTAAGCACGATGCTTCATCAAATGCGGAAACTAGAAGTCCATCAAGTAATTGGTCAACCACCATTGTGAGTCATGACTTTTACTCATTTCCTTATGTTATGACCTATGAATTTTTTACAACTGTGTCGTGGAATTATAATTGGGACCTTAGTCACATTATTGTTATCTTTTATATATATTAATCTAGGTATTTATTGTTATTTTTTCTACCAGGAGCAGTATGACTAATTTGAACTTTCAATTGAAGTTTATACTTTCATTAATATATGTATTTTGTGTTTTTTTTTTAGCAGGAGCAGTATTGGTTAGTTTGAACTTTCAATTTGAAGTTACATGTTAGATCAAGCTCACAATGACAATCTTGATGATGCAGCCGATGAAGAAGAGATGAAGATGAAGTGTCCTATAATATATTAGGCATTTTGTAATGAAAATTATTACCATTTGATAAAATATTTTTATAGTAATTTTGTTGAATATTTAAAAATCATTTATTTCATATTTTAGTATTATATTTTTATATGAGTATTAAGTGAGATTTTAAAAACATGTTTTTTGGTTATATATATTTTTTTAGTATTTAAAAATATTTATTATATTGTATTATTGTTAAATACATTAAATTTATGTGAAATATTTAAGAGATCTTAAAAAATAGTATTATTGTTCAAATTATATAATATAAAAAAAATCAAAATAATAGAGAACAATTTAGTGGCCGAATTAATATTAAATTTATTATTTAAGTGAAGTTTTATTGGTTAAAAATTAATTAAATATATTTTAAATCGATCACTAAACAAAGATTCGGTCACAATATGCATAATTGAAATCAGTCACAAATTCGATCGCTAAAACTGTCTCAAATTTGGTCGCTAAATACCAGTACCGCACTTTTTCGCCTGAAAAAATATGGTCACTTTATTGGTCGCTAATGCGCCTAGTTACCGATTTTCAATGTTTTTCGGTCACTAAAAGCGAAATTTCTAGTAGTGACGGCTAGTTATGGGTTGAATCCCTGGTTTTACGCATAGATTTCTGCCCCCGTGTATTTTGGGCCTGAATATCCAATCCATCCTAAAATATAGACCAATAGCCTATCTACTAGGGACATTATAAAAAACCCTCTCATTTGAGAGAGTCAGATATCCAATTCTAACCCTAAAAAACTCATAATATATATTTTTGCTCCTACTGACTTAAGCATTTGAGTGTCTTGCAGGTAAAACCCCTTTTTCCTCCCTGGATTCCAGCATTGAAGACGAGGTCTCTGGCCCACTTCAGATTCTGATCAACCGGTAAGATCAACTAGGTTGAGCTGAAACCTAATCTTAGTTTTATCACGGGTTAACCAAGAACCTATGAGATTTAACAGTGGACTGATTTTGAATCTAAACTGAGATTGAACCATACAATCCCCAAACCAAATTTTTTACGCGTTTAGCTTCGAACTCAAATAACACAATCCCCAAGTGGATAATATTCAACCAAAGTGTAAAAAAAAAATCGTTAATGAATTTTACAATTCAACCTTACTAGTTTTACAAGTTCCTCACTCACAAAAGGATTTTCTCGCAAAAGCACTTCGAAAAACTTTTAATGTAAGAAAGTAAACAAAGAGAGATTTGAGAGAGAGAGAGAGAGAGAGAGAGAGATGAGAGAGAGAGAGAGAGAGAGAGAGAGGAGAGACGAGGAGAGGAGGAGAGAGAGAGAGAGAGAGAATATGTGCGTGAGAAGTGTGAAATGAAACATGGTTTAAGATGATTTGAAATGATGGAAATTGACTTATATTTATAGACTAGAGGTTGTCTCTAAAATGAAATTGCTTTTAATGAATTTTAAGACTTGTTAATTGATTAGCACATATTCTATATTGATTAGATACCTTAAAATAATTGATTATTAAGTTTTAAAATATTATATATATATATATTATATATATATATATATATATATATATATATATATATATATATATATATATATATATATCTATATATATAATATATATATATATATATATATATATATATATAATATATATATATATAAATATATATAAATATATATATATATATATATATATATATATAATCGTTACACTTCATTAAGATGTTGTCCTAATCATTTAAGGTGATTTTTTGTTAGACTTTGACGACTTGTCTAGAGTGAGGGAGTAAATAAACACCCAATTAAAAATAATCTTTCAAACATAGGTATTTAAAAATTTATTTGAAAAACAATGTTAAGCGAAAGATTTTTGGCCTAGATCAAAATAGTTGTCTAAACGAACACAATTATTGGAAACTCATATATGAACAAGCTATGGAATTAAGATAATAATAAAACCAATCACATAATAATATCTCAATTAATGGTTTAATTTCAAACACATCGGTTTCCTATTTTCAATGAAATTAAACAAAAATATAGAACATTGCAATTTGTCAAACACTTGGTGTGCATTTGACTTTTCAGAATTTTTCATTTGAGTTGTGTTGATATGAAAAACCACTTATAATCAAAATGATTATAATCTAATCAACACACCACTTTAAACAAAAAAATTGCAGAAAAATTCTTACGAGTCAATCGATTAAACAATGATGCTCGACAGATTGCATAATGAAACAAAAGCGAGTAAAGAGATAATAGAGAGCGACACAAGAATTTGTTTACAAAGTTCTCCATTATTGTACCCCAAAATTTGCCCTCTCTTTTTTTCCAAGATTTTCTCTTACATGGGTGATTACAAACACTTGCTTAAAGAAAATAAGAATTTTGAAGATAAATAAGGTATCTTTGATTGGCATTTAAATAAGGTATCCTCGATTGGCATTTAAACAAGGTGTCTTCGATTGACATTGGGACAAGGTGTCTTTGATTGGCATCTGAGCAGGTTGTCCTTTAATTGGCATCTGGACAAGGAGCTTCGATCGGGTGCCAAAAATCCTTCGACACAAACTTGGTTCACAAGACTTCGACTAAGCATTGGCTGTTTCATGTCTGATTTGACCCTCAAGGAAATGACTTTCCCTGTGCGTGCCTTCAGCACACAAGGCCAAAGACTTCTTCAGATTTGCCCTCAATCCACTAGGCAAAAAACTTCCTTCGACTCACAAAGAAAATACATCCTTCGTGCCTGATTCAATTCACTGGGGAATAGACTCTTTTATGCTTGCTTTGGCCTCCCTCATGCTAGCATCCACATCTAAAATCCTTAACACACAGTTCTCCACCTTTTGACACCTAGTAAGGCCTATTCGAAGGACACACAAATGATGCCTTCTAAGGACATGAATTTGGTCTAGTCAAAAGACATACAATGGTTGGAAACAATTTTTGCTTGCTGGCCAAAGTCTTGCATACTGTCAGGCCCAAGCCTTCTGCATAATCACATTCGTGACAAAAGAATCTTTGACTGACCAGAAAAGAGCTTTCGATTGGGTTAGTTGAAGAGTTTCAGATCAAGCTAATAAGGAAAATAGTAGCTCAATCGAAGGCTACAGTGATGAGGCCCAGGGCAGTTCGAAGGAAGGTGAGGAGGCTTCTATAAAGCCTTTGGTTGATAAAGAGCTGAAGCAACATTTGACCAGTCAAAGAGGAAGAGTTGATGCTTCGATTGGTTTGAATTGAAAGAAAGGCAATCGAATAAAGTAATGCTTGGGGGTTGATCGAAGACATTTTGGTGAAGAAAATACTGAGTAATTTGAATTCGTACAAGGTGCCAATGCAAGGTGTCCAAGTGCATTCAAGGATGGAAATGGCATGAAATCTTCATTTTTGGCATTTTTTCAAATTATAATCAGGGCTTTAAACAACATAGTTATGGATTGGATTCTCTCCTTATTTCCTTGCCTTCTCCATCTCCTCTATAACTACAACGTTCCTGCAAGCATTAGACACATACACATACTGCCTCATACACGCAGACGCTGCCTCAGAAAAAGCATACTAAATTCTAAAAATTTCATA